TGAGTTGTGATACAGGGGTTAAAGCGACATGAGTGCAGATAAGACACAGGTTTTATAGAAAATAGACAACATTCTTGCAGAGGGTTGTAAATATCTTTCTAAAGATCAGAGTGAGGGGAGAAAAAGAGAACAAGCAGACAGTGCAGAAAATGGTAAACTTTATAAATACACACAAATATATATATATATGCAAACACATACACAAACACATAAACACATATACATACATGCATGCACACAAACTCATATGCACAAATATAAATGCACAGTCACATATATAACCATACATGCATAAGAGTATGGGAAAGCATAGGTCTACACATTGTACTTATATATTGATAAAATAAACATATTGGAATGCATTGTAAAGTGTTGATACAAATGACAGAACAGTAAAATAATGTGGGGGAGTGTTCATGTAAAGTGTTGGCAGTGGGACAGGAAACTCAAATCAATATTTAGTCTTCTATTCTTGCTGTTAAACAATTTGATCAATCTGGCTTCAAAAGTTTTTTCTTTCTTGGGTATTTTTAAAACCCTCTCTTTTCATGGACTTTCACTTCTGTCAGCTATCAAAGAGGAAGGGAAGAAATCTATGACTGGTAAGGGTTAATCCTATTGTAAAATGAATATTTCCCTTGTACTGTTTACATATGTAGCCAATTAAATCCTTTTTTTCCCAATCTATTGACCAATAAAAACGAATGTTCTCCCTTCATTTGACCATTTGACCATATTTTACAGGTTGACCTGGCCACCAATGCACGCTACAATCAACATATGCAGTAGTGATGACTAAAGGTTGGTATTGCATGTTAACTAGTGTGGGAGACTGTTATAAAGGAAAAAAAAACATCAGGTGATGACCCATAAATAACCCATAAATATCTTGTTTTAGCAGTAACACTTCTTTTAAAATAATAAAATCAGGTAGTATTCACAATAGCTAACTACTAATTGGGTTAATTTCCAAGACAGACTTCATCATTGCTCCTCCCTGCCACTCCAAGCCCCATTGGAAGAAAGATGATGGCTGAATGGTTGTAAAGCTTGTATGCTTTATTTTAGAATCCTCTTTCCACAGACAGTATATGAGGGTTCCAAGGCCTTGATTGAGACCTCTTGACACAAAAA